AGGGAACGGCTAGTAATATAATATTATTATTATTATTATTATTATTATTATTATATTATATAAATAATAATAATAATGGTGTCATTTGCTGTGGACATACTGTGCTTTTGTGTCAGTAAAATAATAATAATAATAATAATAATAATAATAATAATAATCTGCTTTCCTGTCTTAATTGTGCCTGAATGGGACACCTTAGTAATTAGAAACAACTATTTACAAAGGAAAAAGAATCCTTTTAGAATCAGGAACTTGCACTCTATAAAATATTAAATTTTTGACTTATATGTGAAGGGTTTAACCTCTCACCAATACACTTTGTCTTTTGCCGATTGAAAATTGTGTCACAGCCTTGGAAAGTTTTTATTTTGCAGACTGAAAACTGTGTCATGGCAATGGAAAGTTCCCCCCCCCCCCCCAAAGATCAGAGATAGACCAGCTTAATTATTTCTCTAACGGATATTTCCATAGAAAAATGGATTTTTCCACAGGCAATTGATTTTTGCAAATTTCCCTTGTTTCTTTTGAGTCTTATTTTACTTGCGTTGCGAATGCACCAGCATACCATAAGATTTTACTCTGGAATATGTGAAAGAGCTCATTGCTTTCGTTCTCACTGCACAATTACTACCTTTTTTAGTATGATAGCTGCATGAAGTGAAATGATAGGATTTGTAGTTGAGTGAAACACCAGAGCGCTAGGAATAGTTTGCATTTCCCACAAAGAAAACTTTTTGGGTTGTTGTAGGTTTTTCGGGCTATATGGCCATGTTCTAGAGGCATCTCTCCTGACATTTCGCCTGCATCTATGGCAAGCATCCTCAGAGGTAGTGAGGTGACAGGGCCTTCTCAGTGGTGGCCCCTTGGCTATGGAACGCCCTTCCTAGGGACATTAAATCGCCCCTCTCCCTCTTAACATTCCAGAAAAGAGTTGTTCAAGCAAGCGTTTAAAAATGCAATGTAAAAGACATAGGAACTTGGAACAACTGGACGACGAGATGGATAATGTTTTTAATTAGGAGATGCAAACGGCGTATGTTTTTATTACTTTTGTTATGGTTTTATACTATGTATTAATATTTTAAATGGGCATTGAATCGTTGCCTCTGTAAACCGCCCTGAGTTACTTGAGGGCTGAGAAGGGCGATATATAAATATAGTAAATAAATAAATTGCCGACAGTATTAAATCACTGCCGACCAGAAAGTGGCAAGTTCGAAGCCTGAGTCAGACTGAGCACCTGACTGTTAAGTCTAGCTTACTGTCCACCTAAGCAGTTCGAAAACAGCTGAGCTGTGAGTAGAGAAATTAAAGGGTATTTTTTTTAAAGGGGGAGTATTTTACGATACCATAAAAATGCTGTGATCAAAGGAAAACGAGGAAAGGTGATCAAAAGGGCTTGGCATCATAGCAGATGAAGCGACAGCACAATTGAGCATAACCCAAAAAGTAACTTTTGCACAGCTCAAAATGCAGTCTAGATTGGGACAACATTGGATTGGTTACTGGAGACATTCCTGGAAAGCCTTGATGTATAGGTTTGATGCAAGGTATTATTAGTATTAATATTAATAATAATAATAATAATAATAATAATAATAATAATAATGAATTAATAATAAATTATTAATAAATAATAATGATTAATTATTATATTTATTTATACCCCACTTTTTTCCCTCCACAAAGGAGATGCAAAGCAGCTATAAAAGTCTCTTAAGGAGTAGCTTAGCTTGGAGGATTTCCTAGATTTTCCGCTCCATAAACCATTTACTTGTTTAACTTATCAAGGCCCTTCTGGATCGGAGCAAAGGTCTATCTTTTGCAGCGCTGCATTCTTGCACAGCCAAGGTTGTGAGAGTTACACAGCCAGAACCCGGCAATGACAGTTTGCAAAACGACAGTTCCCACGGCAGTGGAAGTGGTATCAATTTGCATTAATTCTACAGTGTAGATCAGGCGTGGGCCAACTTGGGCCTTCCCTCCAGGTAACAGCCTACTGGCTGTTAGGAATTGTGGGAGTTGCAGTCCAAACCATCTGGAGGGAAGGCCAAAGTTCACCCATGCCTGGTGTAGATGCACCCACTACAAACAGCTTTGTACAGTCAAATTACCAATCCCAAAACCCCCATGCTGGCAAACACAGTCCAATCTATATAAATAAATATGTAATATTCATATGTGGGATTAACATAACTCCATAACCACTGGATGAATTGACACCAAATTTGGACACAAGACACATATCAGGCCAACGAGTGACCATCACTCATAAAAACACTGAAAAACGTAACAGAAGGGACTTAAAAGCACAAAAAACCCCAAAATTACATTACAAGGCATGCCAAACCCATATCCATATATATATATATATATATATATATATATATATATATATATATATATACACACACACACACACACACACACACACATACACGCACACATATACACACATAAACAAATATATGTATTTTGTCTGTGTATATGTGTTATTATTATTATTATATTATTTATTTATACCCCACTTTTTTCTCTCCACAAAGGAAACTCAAAGTAGACTCAAAAGTAGGGTATGAATAAATATAACAACAATTAATAATAACACATAAACACAGACAAAATACATATACACAGACTGGGCCACAGCAATGTATGACAGGGGGCAGCTAGTATGTTATAATTACTAGCTGTCCCCTGCCATTCATTCCTGTGGCCCAGTCTGTGTATATGTTTTGTGTGTATATATGTTTGTGTATATGTGGTTTTGCACATGTGTTGTAATTTTTTTTTGCTTTTTAAGTCTCTTCCACTATGTTTTCCAGTGTTTTTATGAGTGATGGTCACTCGTTGGCCTGACAGGTGTCTTGTGTCCAAATTTCGTGTCAATTTGACCAGTGGTTTTTGAGTTATGTTAATCCCAGAAACGAACATTACATTTATAATTTACTAGCTGTCCCCTGCCACGTGTTGCTGTGGCTCACTCTGTGTATATGTGTTTTGTGTGCATATATATGTGTATATATTTCTGGATATGTATATATATGTGTTTGAGTATACACCCTATATGTGGTTTTGCACATTTTTTGGCTTTTCAAAGTATTTTCTGCTGTGTTTTCCACTAGCCGTCTTCTGCCACACGTTGCTGTGGCTCAGTCTGTGTATATGTGCTTTCTGTATGTATATATTTGTGTATATGTGTTATATATGTGTGTTTGCGTATATATATGTGGTTTTGCACATGTGTTCTAATGTATTATTTATTGTTTTGGCTTTTTAAGTCTTTTCTTCTGTGTTTTTCAGTGTTTTTATGGTCACTCGTTGGCCTGATAGGTGTCTTGAATCCAAATTTGGTGTCAATTCGTCCAGTGGTTTTTGAGTTATGTTAATCCCACAAACAAGCATTACATTTTTATTTATGTAGATTATCTATCTATATTCTAATATCATTTTTTTTAATGACCCTCAAAGCTACCCTTCTCTTCTGACTTGGTCAGGCCACACCGGGAATCAAACTGTGTCCAATTCTGGGTAATTCAATTGAAGGGAGATGTTAACTCTAAGCTGGAATGTGTCCAGAGGAGGGCAACTCAAATAAACAAGGGTCTGGAGAACAAGCCCTATGAGGAGCGGCTTAAGGAGCTGGGCATGTTTAGCCTGAAGAAGAGAAGGCTGAGAGGAGATATGATAGACATGCATAAATATGTGAGAGGAAGCCACAGGGAGGAGGGAGCAAGCTTGTTTTCTGCTGCCCTGGAGACTAGGATGCAATGGAGAAATGGCTTCAAACTACAGGAAATAAAAGAGAACATGAGGAAGAACTTCCCGACTCTGTGTGTGAGAGAGCTGTTCAGTAGTAGAAATCTCTTTCTGCTCCGGAGTGTAGTGGAGGCTCCTTCTTTGGAGGCTTTTAAACAGAGGCAGGATAGCCATCTGTCGGGGATGCTTTGAAATGTGATTTTCCTGCTTCTTGGCAGAATGGGGTTGGACTTGATAGCTCAGTTGGGTCTCTTCCAACTCCATTTCAAGTGACAATATATAATAATGGGTTGTTGTGTTTTTCGGGCTATATGGCCATGGTCTAGAGGCATTCTCTCCTGACGTTTCACCTGCATGTATGGCAAGCATCCTCAGAGGTAGTGAGGTCTGTTGGAACTAGGAAATGGGTTTATATATCTGTGGAATGACCAGGGTGGGACAAAGGACTCTTGTCTGCTGGAGCTAGGTGTGGATGTTTGAGCAAGTGGTGTGTGTATGTGTGTGTGTGTGTGTGTGTGTGTGTGTGTGTGTGTGTGTGTATATATATATATATATATATATATATATATATATATATATATCTGTATAGTCCTGTCCCTGTTGGAACTAGGAAAAAGAGTTTATATATCTGTGGAATGACCAGGGTAGGACAAAGGACTCTTGTCTGCTGGAGCTAGGTATGAATGTTTCAACTGACCACCTTGATTAGCATTTGATGGCCTGGCAGTGCCTGGAGCAATCTTTTGTTGAGAAGTGATTAGATGTCCCAGATTGTTTCCTCTCTGTTGTTTTATAACAGTATTACCTACCTATCTATATATTCTAATATCCTTTTTTTTCAAATAATGACCCCCAAGGCAGCTCGCGACACTAAAAGCAGTGCAAATGACCATTTGAAACCCACAATATGTAATCAATAATTACATTAACATGTAATTGCAATACATTAAGCCACCTTGTGTCGCCTTTGGGCTGAGAAAGGCGGGATATAAATACCGTAAATAAACATAATTAATCATTAATTGCATTAACACAATAATTAATTAAATTAAAATATAATAATATAGTAATTAATAAATATTATTAAAAACAGGATTAAATATAGAATTCCTAAAAGAAGCAAGAGTTAAAACCATTGTGAAAACTGTAAAAAAATATAATTATTAAAATAATTAGCACAATTAACACACTAATTAGTCCCCCTCCCCCTGCTATTAGGTATTAGCCCTGCATCCTCATACCTGTCAACAATATGGCCTGAGCCACAGCACTGGCCATCTTCCCTGCACCAATGAATCCAACTCTCATCTTCTCCATCTTCCCAGGAAAAACCTATTTCCCTTGTTTACCTGCTGGAGGTCTTCTATCTATATGCCATTCACTTTTTAACTCCACCCAGACCACGCCCCCTTGCATGAGCCGGGTAGCCAATCCAAATCCTTCTTCCTCTCCCAGCATATAGGAGGCGTGTGCTCATTGGCTGGCGCTCCACTTCCTTCGCCCCCTATTGGCCGCGCGGTTCATTCATTCTTTTTTCTCCGCTTTTTTTGATTGGTCGGTTGTTTGGTGACGTTTAGAACGTTGGGGTGAGAGCATCTTCTGCTTGCGGATTGGCCGAGCGCGGCGTGACGTCACAGCGGAAATTTTTTATGAAAGGAGCCTCAGCTGTTTTTTTCCCGCGAAACTTTGAAATGAGTGTTTGTCTGAGTTTGGACTGGTAGGTAGGGAAGGAAATGGCATCACCTTTACATGCTTTTTCTATGCTGATAGTTAATCAATAAGTCAATTATGGATTCATATTATGGGGATCATTAGTCAATGTGTGTGTGTATGTATACATATATAACATTTATTATATTTATTATTATATATACTAATTGATACCTTTCCATCCCATTATTTATATTTATTGGATTGGATTTATATAATGGGGAACATTAGTCAATGTGTATGAATGTATACATATTATATACATACATACATATATATATATATATATATATATATATATATTACACATACATACACACACACACACATATATATAATTATTATATTTATTCTTATATATACTAATTAATACTTTTTTATCCCATTATTTATATTTATTGACTGGATTTATGGGGATCATTAGTCAATGTATATGTATGTATACATATATATTATACATATATATATATATATAATTTATTATATTTATTATTATATATACTAATTAATACCTTTCCATCCCATTATTTATATTTATTTATTGATTGGATTTATATAATGGGGACCATTAGTCAATGTATATGTATGTATACATATATATTATGCATATATATAATGTATTATTATATTTATTATCATATATACTAATTAATACCTTTCCATCCCATTATTTATATTTATTGGATTGGATTTATATAATGGGGACCATTAGTCAATTTATATAATGGGGACCATTAGTGTATGTATACATATATATTATACATATATATAATTTATTATTATATATACTAATTAATACCTTCCCATCCCATTATTTATATTTATTGATAGATTGGATTTATATAATGGGAACCATTAGTCTATGTATATGTATGTATACATATATATTATACATATATATAATTTATTATTATATTTATTATTATATATACTAATTAATACTTTTCCACCCCATTATTTATATTTATTGATATATTGGATTTATATAATGGGAACCATTAGTCTATGTATATGTATGTATACATATATATTATACATATATATATAATTATTATACTATGTAATAATTAATACTTTTCCATCCCATCATTTATATTTATTGATTGATTGATTGGATTTATATTATGGGGATCATTAGTCAATTTGTGTGTGTGTGTGTGTGTGTATATATATATAAAATATTTATTTTATATATAGATATAGATAGATTAGATAGATAGATATAGATATATAGATTACTCCCTTCACTTCCCATTCCATTATTTATATTTATATTTATCCTGCCTTTCTCCTTTTATAGGGACTCAATGAGGTAAGCAGCAAACATGGCGCAAAACAGGGAAAACAAATTTGAAATATGTATCATGAACGTAAAAATATTAAATCTACATTCAAAAACGATACAGTGGGATACCATTAATGTCATTAAAGAAAAAATATTGAAAGTAATGTTCAAAATAGTACATTACTATTACAGGATCATCAAGTTTGCAGACGACACCAAATTGGGAGGGATTGCCAATACTCCGGAGGACAGGAGCAGGATCCAAAATGATCTTGACAGATTAGAGAGATGATGGGCCAAAACTAACAAAACGAAGTTCAACAGGGACAAATGCAAGATACTCCACTTTGGCAGGAAAAACGAAATGCAAAGATACAGAATGGGGGACAATGCCTGGCTCGAGAGCAGTACGTGTGAAAAAGATCTTGGAGTCCTCGTGGACAACAAGTTAAACATGAGCCAACAATGTGATGTGGCGGCAAAAAAAGCCAATGGGATTTTGGCCTGCATCAATAGGAGCATAGTGTCTAGATCTAAGGAAGTCATGCTCCCCATGCTCTATTCCGCTTTGGTTAGACCACACCTGGAATATTGTGTCCAATTCTGGGCACCACAATTGAAGAGAGATGTTGACAAGCTGGAATGTGTCCAGAGGAGGGTGACTAACATGATCAAAGGTCTGGAGAACAAGCCCTATGAGGAGTGGCTTAAGCAGCTGGGCATGTTTAGCCTGAAGAATAGAAGGCTGAGAGGAGATATGATAGCCATGTATAAATATGTGAGAGGAGGGAGCAGGCTTGTTTTCTGCTTCCCTGGAGACTAGGACGCAAGGGAACAATGGCCTCAAACTACAAGAGAGGAGATTCCATCTGAACATGAGGAAGAACTTCCTGACTGTGAGAGCCGTTCAGCAGTGGAACTATCTGCCCCGGAGTGTGGTGGAGGCTCCTTCTTTGGAAGCTTTTAAACAGAGGCTGGATGGCCATCTGTCAGGGGTGATTTGAATGCAATATTCCTGCTTCTTGGCAGAATGGGGTTGGACTGGATGGCTCATGAGGTCTCTTCCAACTCTATGATTCTATGAAATAAAATAAAAACAATACAGTCGTGCCAGTGTAATATTATTATTATTACACTGGCATGACTGTATTATTTTTATTTTATTTGCCTACTATTTCGAACATTACTATCAATATTTTTTCTTTAATGACATTAATGGTATCCCACTGTATTGTTTTTGAAGGTAGATTTAATATTTTTACGTTCATGATACATATTTCAAATTTGTTTTCCCTGTTTTGTGCCATGTTTGCTGCTCACCTCATTGAGTCCCTATAAAAGGAGAAACCAATTTCTGACCGCTAGTGACCTAGCTAACGAGGGGATAAAAGTCTCAAGTTTGGGATGTGTAGTCAGATGAAGCATTGTTTAGAATCATGCAAGTTCTCGTCCTAGTTTCATGCTAAGATATTTCTTGTTTCATGGTTCTGATTCCTGGATCTCATGATTGCTTACCCAAGCCTTGGATCATAGAATCATAGAATCAAAGAGTTGGAAGAGACCTCATGGGCCATCCAGTCCAACCCCATTCTGTCAAGAAGCAGGAAAATTGCATTCAAAGCACCCCTGACAGATGGCCATCCAGCCTCTGTTTAAAAGCTTCCAAAAAAGGAGCCTCCACCACACTCCGGGGCAGAGAGTTCCACTGCTGAACGGCTCTCACAGTCAGGAAGATCAATGTATTCCTGATTTTCTGAGTTGTATTAGAGTTGTGTGGACTTTGCTCTTATGGACTTTGCTGATCTCTACCTTGGACTAATTTGTTCCCGCTTATCTTCATACCTAATTGGAATTACCTATTTCTTTAAAGTGCTTCTTACTTCGCTGTTTTTTTACTTATCTTCAATAAAAGGATTGTTTTTTCCTATTCAACGTGTGGTATTTAAAGGCAGAGGATTATTCCTATCCTGGAGTGCAACACTCCAGGTGTTTTGGACTCCAACTCTCATAATGCTTAACAGCTGGTGGGAGTTGAAGTCTAAGACACCTGGAGGGTGTCTTGGACTCCAGGTGTCTTGTGTAGGTGCACCCAATGAGCTCTATCTCAAACTCCAGCTCGTCAATGCCCTTCTTCGCTTCTTAATCTGGCTGTTTCTCTTTTGCAGATTATCCTCGAAAGATGCCGATGCGGGATCACCAGACTTCTGTTCTCCCATTCTTCTTGCTTCTGCTCATTGGCCCTTGCCTTGGGTTTTTCGGCTGGCTCTCTCGAAGTCCCAAACCAACCCCTGTTCCAGACCCGGATCCTGCTCCAGACCCCAGAAATCTCCAACATGTTGCTTTCGAGATGACAACATCCGACGAGAGGTTTTTAGCAGAGGCCCACCAGTTGCATCTTTCACCCTTGGATTCCTGCCACCACAAGGTCCGTCTTCTCCACCTTATCTTTTCCTCAAGGCTTCCACAGTGGCTCATTGCTATGGAATCATGTTACATAGAGTTACAAGGGTTGAATGAAAAGTAATGCTTCCACCTTCGTTACTTAGGTTTGGATGGGAATATTTTAATAAATCAAACGCAGAAATAATCCTGAGAATGTGCTCTTCACTATTCACTTTTCCACATAATCACCAGACAATTGGATACATTTCTGCCAACGATGAAGCCGTCACGGAAGAAGTCGACACTCTGTTTCCGCATCCAGTGTCTCACAGTTCTCTCAACGTCTTCATCAGAAGCATAATGATGTCCCCGCAGATCTTCTTTCATTATTGGGAACAGATGGAAGTCAGAAGATATTAAATCTGGACTGTATGGAGGATGCTGTATGGTGGTGAGATCCAGTCTCTGAAGTTTCAAGTCTGTGCGCTTTCATTTCAGGCGTTAGCTTCCTGGGTACCCATTGTGCACAGATCTTCCGATAGCCAAGCAAAGCAATAATGTTCTCTATAATGAAATGCGGGTTATGCTTGAAATTTCTCTCTGAGTGGTACGACGATCATCCTGAATCAATCTGTCAACCTTTTGCTTTTGAAACTCGGTGGTTGCTGTCACAGGACATCCAACTCTTTGTTTGTCACGCAAGTCAGATGTTCCCACCTCAACATCTTTAAACTTTCTTGCCCAGTGACGCACAATACCCACATCAACACAATCACTATAACACAGCTTGCATTCTCTGATGAATCTCCTTTGGGGTGACACCTTCTGCTGTCAAGAATTCAATGACTGCACGTTGCTTAAGTCGCAATGACCGACCATCTGCGCAGGGTTCCATATTTCGCACTTTAACAACAAAACCATTCAATGCTAAGGCTTCCCACCAAGATGAAACTGTAGAGGAGAGTCTACTGAATAAGCCAGTACCTGCCGCATACCAGTACTGCCATCTGTTGAGGACTTACGAAGGTGGAGGCATTACTTTTCATTCAACCCTCGTCTTTATAATGAGACTTGAGCATCCGTGGATTTTGGTATCTACAGGAAGTCTTGGAACTAAACCCCAGTGGATAACAAGCAATTCTTCCAGACCTTTCTTTAAAAGTGTTGATTTCTAAAAACCCAGCTGTTGTATTCCGGGAGAGGAAGCACCTCTTTACTTAACCACCACACTCCAGTCCAATGTAAATCAGCAAAGTGGTTTATTGAAGAATATATAAAAATCAGGTCAGCAAAACAGTAAAAACATTTAAGTCCAAATGTATGAAATAGTATATAAGATTCTAGGTACAAGAGTTGCATGAAAAACCAGGAATGCAAAAGAATCAGAGTACACAAGGCAGCATAAAATCCAAAGCACAAAAATACAGGAACAATCCTTTAAACTTGGACATAAACAACTGGAAACATGAAACTAGAATTCCCTTAGCAGGCTTAACTAGGACTTGGCAAGAGATGTTGCCTCAAACTCCAATGTTGACCAGACTGCTGAAAACTCCTGTTGCAACTCAGAGTAAGCTTTGCCTTGCTCCCAAACACCACCACACAAGAGCTGTAGAATTTGTAGTTTATTGAGGAAAAATCCAAGTCAAAATATAGAATAAGCAATGCAAAGATCCAAAGACATAAGTTAAATGTAGAACACAGTTCCAAAGGTCTTCAGGTAAAGACAGAAGACATAATCCTTTAAGCAAAGGTTAAAACAGAGTCCATGGTAAAAACAGTGAAACACAAGCCCCAAGAATCGCGATGCAGGAAGCCCAAAGCGTGCTGCTTTAAAACCAAGGTTATTCCATGAAGCTTTCAGGCTAACAAGCCACGTTGAAATGACACTTTCCCTTCATTAACTAGAAGCCTAAATACCTTTTGCTAACATGAAAACATGCTCTCACCAACATGAAAGCATTGCGATGACCGTTCCCCGAGCTGGCTTCTCTTCTGCTAGCTAGGTATGAACTCCTCCTGATCCACACATCAAGACGTGCTTGCCGGGTCAGGTCACTATCAAGGCTTTCTGCACTTTCAGTATCAGCGTGGGAAGGCAAAGGCCTCTCCACCTGTTAGCTATCTACTTCGTTAACATTCCTTTCTTCTGAGAACCGCTTTGTTGACTCTCCAGCTGCACTATCTGCACTGTCTGTTGGAGCCTCAGAAAAAGACATAGGAACAGGCCTAGGAATCTGTGGCACAGAGAAAGAGCCAGGAATCTGAATCCCATCATCCTCATCATCACAGAACATCTCAGGCCCAAAATCATGCTGAACCACAACAAATCCCTTTGGTTTCTCTAATAAACCATGAGATCATTCCGTTTTCCCTGGCAAACTGATAATGGCTTTTTGTCTAATAAGCAATGTGACCTTTGCAGAGTCTGTAAAGCAGCTCAGAGTTTGCGAAAAATAAGTCTCCTATCTATCAGCTCATTAACCTCTCCACCTGGCAGTTCAGCCTCTGAACTTGCTTCCCTAGAGAAAGACTTCTTTGGGCCCCTCTCTGGAATGTGACCTTCACCTTCACTAACTGCAGGAGACACAGAACACTCAATTTCAGGACTTTCGCAGGCTCAGCAGTCCCAGAAATCCCACGATCCACTTCCTCATTGACATTAGGCACAATCAATGGCTTAATTCCAAGACCAACTATCTTAATAATAATAATAATAATAATAATAATAATAATAATAATAATAATAATAGACATTCTCTCTACCAACCTTAATGCAATTCTTATTGCTTATATCCCAGAGTTTTCCACTCTGCTTTCTAATGGAATATTTGGAGAATGTATTTTTTTCGGACAACAAGTCTTCCTTGGCAGCAAGTTCCTGGCGGAGAGATTGTTTTAATCCAAGAATATATTATTATTATTATTATTATTATTATTATTATTATATTTTTCTCAGTGCATGGGCCAACTTGGGCCCTCCAAGTGTTTTGGACTTCAACTCCCACAATTCCTAACAGCCTACCGGCTGTTAGGAATTGTGGGAGTTGAAGTCCAAAACACCTGGAGGGCCCAAGTTGGCCCATGCCTGACCTACACCATCCACACATAGACTAATATATGCAATATTTTTATGTATGCGACAAAGTTCGGGCACACTGAAATACCAAGAAGTAAAAGCAACCTTATCTTAGCCATCCAGGTGTATAATTTTGGAGTATTACAACAAAGGTATGCTCCATCTATACCATTAATATGTATTTTTGGCTTTTCTCTTGGCAAGGTCATAGCCCAGCTCCGTTCGTCTTGTACAGACCTGACTGAAGAGGAGCTGGCCAAGTTGGGGGTCTCTCTGTTCAACTGTCAAGCGGGGGTTGAAGGCCGAAGGACATACCGCTGCACCTCAGATATGGTAAGTCACCCATTTTGGGGATTCACTCCAAGGGCAGTCAAGGTTATATGCGATTATAGGCTGCATTGATAGAAGGAGAATGTCTTGATTGAGGGAATTCATAATCCCACTCTCTTCTGCTTTGGCTTGGGATAACATTTTCCAGTCACTTGGCAACACAATTTGAGGAGGAGAAGGACAAGATGGAAGATGTCCAGAGAAGGGCCACCAAACGGGTCAAAATTCTGGAAGCCATGAAGCCCTATGAGGACTGGTTTAGGAAACCAAGTGTGCTTAGTCCGGAGATGTTGTACTCCAGAGCAGGATTCCCTCTGACTCCCAACACCACACAGTTGAGTTAAAATAGCAAGCAGTTTATTGAAGATAGTAAAAGCCAAAGCAATAAAAGTAATCCACAGTAAAAAGGCAAATCCAATTGATAGGAAATAAAAATAGCAATAAATCCACAGAGAAACAGTTCCAAGAAAGTTCATTAAACCAGAAGCTTGATTTCAAAGGCAAAAACAACAGCAAAGGCACTTAAACAGGTATAAAACAAAGACCAAGGTCCAGGAACATGGCATGGAGAACTATTCGTGAACCCAACATTGCTTCGTCTGAACCTAGACTCCATATTTGGCACTATATATCTACTTTGTTTCCCAAACAGCTAGGAACGGATTTTTCCTTAGTTTTAGTTTCTCTACTACTTCTGTTCTGATCTGGCTGAGCATCTTAGTTTCTGATTTTTTTTGTCTCTGCTGGCTAAAAGCTCATTGTCTGTTCAAGGCTTCATTAAAATCTGCATTTCGAGATAACTAACCCTGGAAATGCAGCTCAGAGGTTCTCCCAGGCTCAAGATCTTGAGATTCCCTTTGCAGCAACACAGGCCTCTCTAAGCCATCAACTGAACTGCATTCAAGCCCTACATCCCTAAAACTAGGCCCAGGAAACAGACCCATCATCCCCATTCCCTTCAGGAACATCTTCATGAACAGCATCTCCATTCCCATCAGAGGAATCAACTTGAACATGAACAGCATTGTCATTCCCATCATCCAAAGCAACCGGTGTTACAGTAAGTTGTAGCAGGATCGAGTGTGTGTTAAAGAAAAACTTTGTGATGTTAATTATTGTGTACAGCTGGTTATGTAGGTCAGCTAGCATGTTTGGACCACACCTGGTGGGGTATAACTGTATGGATTTTGGAATACAGTTTGGAGAAGCAATACGCTACTCTGAGGAAGAGAAGCAATATGCTGTAATGCTGATATGCTCTAACAGTGATGCTTTTTGCTATGGTGGAATAGCTATTTACTCAAGGTTTATGTTTTGCCCTCTCATTTGAATGAAGATGAAGAAGCTTTATTCTGTATTACTTACAAGGACTATGTAAGTTTATTGCACTGTTTGATTTTGTATGCAACCCTTCAAGTTTATGCCTCTGCTGATAAAAGTTTTTATGTTCCTTTTTCCTCTTGCCTGTGTGTCTTGGCTAAAACATGCTTTGCACAACAACCTGATCATTAGACACCACATTGCCATTCCCATCATCCAAAGCAACCTGATCATTAGACACAATCACAGGCTGAGCAGGCTGACATACAACAGGAGAAGAGAATTGTATTGTGTCTTCCTGCCTGGCAGAGTAGGGTTGCATTGGATGCCTCCTTGTGGTACCTGCCAACTCTGATTCTATGAACTCTCACATTTGATAAAAATGGCCATTCTCTTCTCTCCCATAGACCCTGGCCGAATGCACTGCGGAGATGGATCCCGACACCTGGAACGCTTACCACATTGTTAGCAACCGTGCACGTGCCGTCTGCTACGCCACCCGACAAATGCAGTTCAAGCTCCGGGCCGAGCACACGGTCAATGCCTTGGTCTCCACCGCAGCTGGACAGCTGGAAGCCATGGAGATCCTCAAGGTCTGTGGAACAGTAGCAGAAATTCCTATAATATTTCCAGTGTATTGGATTTGTTCAGTAAGGGTAGACCAATTAGATCGGTAACATGGACCGACCGTTAGGAATTGTGAGAGTTGAAGACCGAAACACCTGGAGGGAGGGACAAAGTTGGCCATGCTGAAGTCAAGCACCCCCCCCCCCCCCCCCCCCAAATAAGGGATAGTGACTTATAGTTCTGCAAAGGGCAAGGGCACCAGACTGCACAGTAGGGGTTAAGTCTTGGTCACATTGCCAAGGCACTAACAACAACAAGGACCCCACGAGACTTTTGGGGAACGGCTGGATCTTGGGACTTCTGCCCTTCATGAGAGTTGTAGTTTCCCAAGGACCAGCTTCGATCCCAGCATGGCAGAATTCCACCCAATGGCTCAGTGGGAAATCAACAGACTTTCCTTTTGGGCTTTAAGAGCTCTGCCTAATGTTTTGGACTCACAAGGACATCTTTCCCGCTCGTGAACTTCCCTCAAAATGAACTATGGACTCACATTGCTTGAAAATAATTTCTTTATTAAATTTCTTTGGCAGGGTGGGATGGGGAAGGAGATATGTGATATGAATTTCTGTGGATTTCTGTATTCCCCCATGCATTTTCCTTATTCTTGCCCTGACACCCAAACCTATCACTCCTTCCCTCTCCCCTTGGGTAAATCAATCCAGGAAGCGGCCAGCTGTTGAAAGGGCAATCAGGGGCAACAAAAGAAACTCATATCCCAGAACTCTGGCGAGGACAATAAGACCTGGAATCCCTATGTGGCTCCAGGATTAAGGCCATCAGGCTGGAATCTCCTTCTGCAGACTTTTGGCCATTTCACAATAGGAGTGAGACGCCCCTCAGGGGGCCGCCTTCCCAATTTTGTTTACTTCATTCAAAACCGGACATTTCCCCAGCCTCCCCTTTTGTGCCTTATCTGATTGTGGCAGGAAGGCCAGGATGAAAGTAATCAAGGATCATCGCAATTCCACTCAAGGCCAATAGACTGGGCATCACATCCATTGATTCATTTGCCGGCTTATTGTTTCTGTTTTCATGCCGCCTCTCTCCTCCTGATTTGTCAAGGTGCTGAAGCAGGGAAAGCTCTCCCATTGGAGGGCAGAGGGAGGGAGTTTTGAAACTTTCAAACCTGTATTTTGCTATAAATATGCCTCTGATCAATGTACTGGTATGCTTTGTGTGCGATCTATCACCACATTGCATCCTTCTCAGCTGAATCGCTCATTAAACCTCGATGCCTCTTCTCCGCTTTGGCAAGAGTCTCATTTCAATTCTCATGAAGGCTCGCCAAAGTAGCGTTCCCTCTTTGGTGGGAACTAAGGGTCCTCTCCCCTTGGAGTTGACCCTCCAAAAGTTCCAGTTGACTTCAATGCCTGGTCTAGATGCACAACATGACTCTTCCCTTTCTGTGGCTTCCCCTTAATAGAGTGGCCAGGAGGAGCTGCGAGCGCTGACCTCGGAGTCCTTGCAACGAGTGGTGAGCGGTCAAGAGCGGCTCCTGGCCCAGCAAGAGGTCTTCCAAGACAACCAAGAACACATGGAGGAGTCCATCCACAGCAACCTGGCCCAGCTAGCCCAGGAGAAGGCCCTGATTGCCAGCGGGCAGCAGCAGGTGGCCCAGCTGATCGAGGGCATCACACGGAGAATGGGTGAGGGTGAAAGATGGAAACAAGAATGTATGTATGTGTATTTTATAAGACTCTCAAGAAAGTAATATAAATCAGGATTATATGCTCTCTAATGGAGTAAATTGTCTGAGACTTTATAACATATAACAGGAATGTTATCAGCACATTATAAGTAAATGTAGATTATCTTGTCAACATAGAGAAATAAACAGTAGAATAAAGATAATAAAGTCCATCCTTTCCTGGAGTCGGATTTCAGTGAAGGAATTCAAAAGTCTCTGTCTTTATCCTCAAAAGAATTCTTCTTTTGGCAACACAGTCTTAAGGAGTACTTCTTAGGCAACAGAGTCTTCCTTAGGTAACAAAATTTCTACAAGGTCTCCCGGTATGTTATCCTTGTTTCGAATAATTATCTTCTTCAGGATGTAGTCTGTTATCACATTATACTTAATGCACTAAATAAAGGAGTAAAAATATCATACACAATAGATACATGAAACTCCCAAAATCCAGGTACTGCCAGGCAATCAAATGCTAATCAAGGTAGTCAGTTGAAACATTCACACCTAGCTCCAACAGACAAGAGTCCTTTGTCCCACCCTGGTGATTCCACAGATATATAAACCCCTTTTTCCTAGTTCCAACAGACCTCACTACCTCTGAGGATGCTTGCCATCGATGCAGGTGAAACATCAGGAAAGAATGCCTCTAGAACATGGCCATACATCCCGAAAAAACCTACAACAACCCAGTGATTCCGGCCATGAAAGCCTTCGACAATACATATGCTGAATTTGCTGAAACTCAATGAGTTATTCATTGAAATACTTGAACAAAATGTGCTGCAGGATGTCCCTTCTGCAATAACAAAGTTTTTGCAGTTTAATAAACTTTTCCCCATGTTTTTATGCTAGAAACAATGAGGGAATGATATTTATGACCCAGGAACAAAAATAGTTTTGCATAGTATAATAATAATGGTGCATCCCTTGTTCTACAGAAAATGTCAGCATTCACCTGAGCAGCCAGGATGCCGACTTGCAAGAGGGCCACAAAGCCATCCTGAGGGACCTGAGCCAGGTGCAGAAGAGGGCCCAGGAGGTTTACTCCAAAATAGGTTTGGATCCAAAGCCCTTTCTCTTCATTCCTTCTCGATGCTTCTTTACCATGCCTTTTTCATAATGTTAGAGACCCTAAATTGGGTCTTTTTAGGTCCACGTCGTGGGAGCATGAAAGGAAGGAGACAGTCCCAATGAAAGATAAATAAACAAGGTTTTATTTTAGTTTCTTCATGAAGAAGACAGACAGCCAGGCAACATACACAGACGTTACCCTTCAAGTGACTGCCGTGCTCTTCCCTTGAAATCTGCAAACTTTATAGCCCAGTACAAACAAAAAGTATAGGGAAAACACCTTTTGTGAATAATAATTCTGACCTTTTGATGGAAAGTACCTTCTTGTACATGCGGCCTCTGTGCTTCAAAAAAAACAACAACCTTTGAAGTTAACCACAAGCATCCTGTGTAAGAAAGTACCTTCTACATGTCACATCTTGTTTCTTAAAAACATTTTCTTCCATATTGCTCTTTTTAAGTCAGAGAAAGAGTATGTCTCTCTTTTGCTGTTGATTTCATTCAAAGCCCCTTACTTAGTAATTGCAAATTTCGCTCAAAGACCCTTTCAGTAACGTCACCCTTGCCTCTCCCACCAGAAAGCAACTTGGGGTTATTTGCCACCTACCAGAACCAGACCGGCCTCTATTACGAGGAATTGATGGGGAAGCTGCAAAAGATGAACGAAAGCTTAGGGCTGGTGCTGTTCACCATGGAGCGCATGCAGAGCAACGTCGAAGGGCAGCTGCGGCACATTCAGAGATTCATCAACTGGGCAGGTAAAGCCGAGGGAGGATTTCAAAGAATCCTAGAGCGGAAAGGGACCCCTAAAGGACATCCAACCTGACCCCTTTCTGCCAGGCAGGAAGATACAATCCAAACAACACCTACAAAGCCCTAAACGGTTTGGGACCTGCCTACCTGCGTGACCGCATCTCCGTCTATGAACCCGCACACTCCCTTCGTTCATCTGGAGAGGCCCTGCTCACGATTCTACCTGCGTTGCAAGCGCGGTTGGTGGGACGAGGGACAGGGCCTTCTCTGTGGTAGCCCCCCGACACTGGAACGCCCTCCCCAAGGACATCAGACAGGCCCCTACATTGGCAGTCTTTAGGAAGAGCTTGAAGACTTGGCTATTCCGGTGTGCCTTTCCAGAATAGGAAACCCCAGCAACATGTCCCAAAAGCACTTTAGTTGAGACTTAAGATTGTCCGCACATTGCACTTACCCAAAAATCCTTATATTTCAACTGTCATACGCAGCACTTTTAATCGGTACCCATCTACACTGGGCCTGGCCTTAGTTTTATTGTGCTACGGTGTATTGTTTTTATTGTTTATTGTTATTGCTTAATGTTTTGATTTGCTTTATGGGTTATGTGTATTGTTGTATTGTTGTTTTATCGAGGCCTTGGCCTTTGTAAGCCGCATCGAGTCCCTCGGGAGATGCTAGCGGGGTACAAATAAAGTTAATAATAATAATAATAATAATAATAATAATAATAAACACTCCCAACAGATGCCCATCCAGCCTCTGTTTCAAAACCTTCAGAGAAGGGGATTCCATCGGACTCACAGGCAGTTCATTCCACTGTTGAACAGCTCTGACCATTAGAAAGTTTTTTTAAATCAGTTACTCCATTGTGTGCTAGTTCCTCAGTTGGGTTCTCACAGAAGTTGAGGAAGCAAGAAGCCACCTTTGCTCCCTTTTCTTCAGGTAAGCACTAGAAATCTAAGTGTGTGCTTAAACTACACTCATTTTCAGGCTAGCTGCTCTGCTAGGGGCACCAGAAAGCTGTGTGAGTATTTGTTTGGTTTAGAAGGCGAGGCTACATTTGTTTGGTTTAGAAGGCGAGCCAGCAGTGATTGACAGTTTCAGGTCAGCAGTTTGTTTATTTACTGTATTTGTAATCCCGACAAGACAGGTCCTCCTGGTCAATTGTAAACCGGATCGGGGTATAGGGTGGCAACCTGTGCTGGACGGGGTTACAAACTTAGCCCTGTGTGCTAAGTTTGGCCCAATTCCATCATTGGTGGAGTTCAGAATGCTCTTTGATTGTAAGTAAACTATAAATCCCAGCAACGACAATTCCCAAATGACAAAATCAATTTTTTTGAGTGGAGGACATAAATTGGACTGTTAGGTGTCTTGTGTCCAAATTTGGTGTCAATTCCCCCAGTGGTTTTTGAGTTCTGATGGTAGCACGAACTAACATTACATTTTTATTTATATAGATTATTATTATCATTATTAATAATAATACTTTGACACTTAAAGATATAAGGATCCTGCTTGGTAACCTCATGTTGAGATTAATTTCACAGTTCAGCAACAGATCAGTTGCACAACTTCATCGCTTTCTAGTAGCTTCTTCCTGCACAGTATTTTCAGTCAACTGCTCCCACAGCCTGCAGCCACGCTGGAACCTTTTACAGGCACTTGAGCACATGCCCGGCCACTGTCAGTTTTACCATTGTCTTTCCCCGAGTCTAGATGATATTACAAACTTACCACAGCACACAGTTATATCTTGTCTTAGCAGACAGGTTCTTTTAATCAATTACATAGAGACTTCGATGACCAACATCACAGCACAAGGAGAGAGAAATATACACTGTACATGACTTCCTTATATACAATTCTATAAGATTACACATAACAATCACTGATTGGTTCCCAACTCATTAACTTAACTCAGACCCAGGATTGCATCATTCACAATCACCTGGACCAGGCCAGAACACATTCCCCAAATGAAGTTCCCTATATACAGTTAATGCATGACTCAGCATTTCCAATAGAAGCCTATTAGCAGTGCATGACTCAGCTATATTACATTACAATACATTGTAAAACCTGACACCTCACTCACCAAGAGATGGAATAAACACAAAATTTTCCCATCACACGCACAAGCTGTGGCATGTCCAGCTTCACACAACAACTACTCAACTACTCAACCTCCTGGTCGATCGCAAACCTGACCGGGGTATAGGGTGGCAACCTGTGTTGGACGGGGTTACACTCCCCCTGAAGCCACAGGTCCGCAGTTTGGGAGTCCTCTTGGATTCATCGCTTACGCTTGAGGCTCAGGCATCGGCGGTGTCTGGGAGGGCTTTTGCACAATTGAGACTTGTGCTCCAACTGCGACCATACCTCACGAAGGCTGATCTGGCCGGGGTGGTCCATGCCTTGGTCACCTCCAGATTGGACTATTGCAATGCGCTCTACGTGGGGCTGCCCTTGAAAACGGCTCGGAAGTTCCAACTGGTCCAACAGGCAGCGGCCAGGATGTTAACTGCTGCTCCTTACAGAGAGAGGTCAACCCTCCTGTTCAAGGAGCTCCACCGGCTGCCGTTTATTTTCCGAGCCCAATGTAAGGTGCAGGTGCTTACCTACAAAGCCCTGGACGGTTTGGGACCATCCTACCTGCGTGACTGCATCTCCGTTTACGAACCCACGCGTTCACTTCGGTCATCTGGAGAGGCCCTGCTCGTGATCCCGCCTGCATCGCAGGCGCGTTTGGTGGGGACACGAGACAGGGCCTTTTCTGTGGTGGCCCCCCGACTCTGGAACACCCTCCTCAAAGATATTAGACAGGCCCCTACATTGGCTGTCTTCAGAAAGAACTTGAAGACCTGGCTGTTCCGATGTGCCTTCCCAGGATAGAAAATCTCCAATACCAAGTCCCAGAAGCACTTTATCAGAACTAAGATTGCCGCACACCGCACACTGCACTTGCCCTATAAGCCTTATACACCACCTGTCACATCAGCACTTTTAATCCTGTACCCATTACTCTGGCCCGGCCCAGTTTTATTGTGTTTAGTGTATTGTTTATTGCTTGTTGTTTATATTGCTTTAATTGTTTTTTAATTTGCTTTAGGTTTTGTATTGTTATGTTATGTGTTGAGGCCTTGGCCTTTGTAAGTCGCATCGGGTCCTTCGGGAGATGCTAGCGGGGTACAAATAAAGTTTAATATTAATAATAATAATAATAATAATAATAATAATAACTACATCTGCACCAAGTGTAAACAGATGACTATTATGGAACTGAGGATCCAACAACTCAAGTTTGTGAATGCCCTTAAGGGTCTTAATATGATCACAGTGAGATATGCTTCAGGGTTTCTTTCACTGGAGGTTTTTAAAACAGGGGCTGAATGGCCATCTGTCAGGAGGGCTTGGATCATGTCTTCCAATCTGGCAGAAAGAAGGGATTGGACTGGATGGCCCTGGGGATCCCCTCCACCTCTTTGTTTCTATATACAAATGCAAAGTGTGCAAAAGCAGTTGAGAAAGCCGAAGCCCCTTGTTCGCTCTCCTCTGTCTTCCAGGCTTCAGCCTGAGCTCCATCTACACCTGCCTCTTCCACGGCTGCTATTTCCTCCTGGCCGCTTTGGTCATGACTTTCCTGCAGATCCCCGGCCTCCCGCGCATCATGCTCCTGGTCCTCGTCGTGGCCAATGCCCTCTTGGAGCTCAACCACATCTTTTCCTTAGGATTTAATGCCCTCACCATCTTCTTGGTGCTGGCGGTCACAGGCGAGTATGCAATTCACTTCTGTTCCCTGATGCATGCATGCCATGTCCCAGGTTTACTTGCTTGCCGGCTGCTCCAAAGCCTTCAGAGCAATACATACAGGATGCTTAGTCGTGCAAATTAAATTACAGTCTGTTGGAGCTCAGCCTGTGATTGTGTTTCAAGATCAGGGTGCTTTAGATGTGGGGAGTGATGTCAATGAGTTTCAAGATGGCAATGGTTTGGTCAATGATACTGATGCAGAGAAGGACTAGGAGAGTCCTGTGCAAAGGGTAGTTTCCCATGAGAATGTCCCTGAAGGATGTGGGGATGATAGTGTACTCCCTGAATTGCTACAAGAGAGTTCCCAGGATTTGGGGCTTGAAAACAACTGGGCACCTGGTACACATCAGCAAGCAAGAGTCCAAAAGTGGCAGACGAAAACCCGGAACTTCAGTCAGTGGCTGTGTTGGAGCTCAGCCTGTGATTGTGTTTCAAGGTCAGGATGCTTTGGATGTGGGGAGTGATGTCAATGAGTTGCAGTATGAGTTTCAAGATGGCAATGGTTTGGTCAATGATATTGATGCAGAAAATGACCAGGAGATCCCTGTGCAAAGTGTAGTTTCCCATGAGAATGTCCCTGAGGGGTGTGGGGATGAAGGTGTGCTTCCTGAATTGTTACCAGAGAGTTCCCATGATAGGGAACATGAAAACAGCTCGGCACCTGCAGAAATTAATGAGCAAAGAGATAGGAGGAGATTAGTCAAAACAGACAAGCCGAACAGTGGATTCGGTGTTCTGCCAAGCTCTGACAGAAAAAGATAAGGGAATCTCAACTAAAGCGAAACCAATTTTTCAGTCCTTGGAATAACTTAACAAGGGGATAAAAGTTTCAAGTACGGAAAATGCAGCCAGATGAAGCATCATTTGGAATCAAGTTAGGTTCTTATCCCTGTTTCGTGGAAGCCTTGCTTGGAAGATTCATGCATAAGTACTTATTGTTTCAAGGTTTTGATTCTTGGATTTCATGATTGCATACTCATGCCTTGGATGAATGTTTCCTGGTTTTCTGGATTTTATTAGAGAAGTGTGGATTTTGTTTTTATGGGCTTTGCCGAACTTTACCCTGGACTATTTTGTTTCTGCTTATCTTCTTACCTAATTGGATTTACCTATTTTGTTAAAGTGCTTTCTACTTTGCTGCTTTTTAATTATCTTCAATGAAAGGATTGTTTTCCTAATTCAACGGTGTGGTGTTTAAAGTCAGAGGGCTTTTCCTGTCCTGGAGTGCAACACAGTCAGGCCTCCATATTTGCTGTGGTTAAGAGAAAACCACAAATAATACATTTACTATTTTTAACCTTGGAGAACATCTCTCTAAGGAATATTTAGTTTTTTCCAGCATGACTTTATGGTCAACTTTTGCCAGATAAAACTGGAGAGTCTAGAAAGGTTCAGTGCTACAGAAACCTGGGATTTGTAGTTTTGTGAGATATTTATCTTTGATTTCCAGAGGTCTCTGGAACCACTGCAGGTTCCAAAGATCGCAGCCATGGAAGTTAAAGTGGAGTCAAAACTCCTATAGTTTTGCAGCTGGAAGTGTAAAAAGTGGAAAGTAACTTGTGGATACTCTTCTGAAGTTGTGTTACAACTCCAAATTTCCATGCATTCCCTTAGCTGGGGATTCTGGGCATTGCAATCCCCCAAAAGCAATATTTACTAGCTTTTTGACTGTAATGTTGTGCTTCCCTTAGGCAACTGGCTGCTGGGAAGAATAATCTGCCGTGCAATGGCGAGGAAAGAACACAAACAGATCTTAGGGTCTGTGCCATTCCTCTGGGAAAATCCTGAAATTTGTGTCCATGAAGAGGAGGAAAAGAATGGGAATTGTGTTTGTGTCACTTCAACTCCTGAAAGGTAGGAAAATCTTGGAGCGAGAGGGCCATCTGTTGGGAGTGCTTGGATTGTGTCTTTTTGCCTGGAAGAAGGGAATTGGACAAGATGACCCTTGGGGTCTATTCCAAGTCTGGAGTTCTATCAATTCATCAAGTGATCAATCAATTATGGCATGGAAGAAAGGGGTTGGATTGGATGGCCTTTGTGGGTTTCTTCTAAATATACAATTTTATTGATCCTGGGACTTGGCTGAGAATTCTAAACTTCAACTGCCAGGATTCCATAGGATTGGACTATGAGCCCTTCCGCACTATACAATGATAGTAATATGATTTTACATTAACTGTTGTCACTACATTCTTTGTTGGAGTTGACTGGTGAGATAACCAACATTAATAAAGATGTCCAATTGAACTGTGGAACTCACTGCCACAAGATTTGACCAGTAATAATAATAATAACAACAACACTTTATTTATATTTTGTCCTATCTCCCAAAATGGACTCAGAGTGGATCACAGTACACATACACGGCAAACATACAATGGACAGAAAGGAGGCATGTTGTGTCGACGTCCAGCTTTTTGGTTCCTTGGAGGTTGTGCTTGAATCCAGCCACAGTGGGGTGCTGTCGCTCCATCCTCTATGATGAAGATCCACAAGGACTTCCTCCTTCTTTTTGGTCATGACATTTCTGGTTTTTTTTCTTTTATAGTGTCATAAAATACTTCCCCAGCTTGTTTAGCGGTACCTAATTTCTCTACTTACAGCTCAAGCTGTTTTCGAACTGCTTAGGTAAGCAGTGAGCTGGGCTGACAGTTAGAAGCTTACACCGACCCTGGGCTTCAAACTGGCAACCTTTTGGTTGGTAGATCTTATTGCTGCTGGTGAATCTCAAAACCTGGTTCTTCTGCTGCGCTTTTGGAGATTTGTCTAGGCCGAACTCCATACTGATGTCAGTGCTGAAGATTCTGACTGTGTTGGTCAGTGACTCGATTTCAGTTTCTGATTTTCCGTAAAGCTTTAGATCATCCATGTACAGTAAGTGGGAAATTTTTGGTGAATTTCTTGCTGTTTGGTAGCCTATGTTTGTTTTCTGTAGAATTACTGACAGTGGGATCATTGCAATGATGAACAGCAGTGGTGACAATGAGTCACCTTGGAAAATTCCTCTCTTGATGTTAACAGTTCCATAGCTTTCGTTGCCCGCAAACAACTCAGTTTTCCATCGTTTCATTGCATTTTCGGTAAACTTTCTAATATTTTCATAAACCCCGATGACATCTAGACATTTGATAACCCAACAATGTGGCAGTGAGTCAAATGCTTTTTTGTAATAAATCCAAGTTGTATAGAAGTTTGTTTTCTGGCTTTTGCAATTCTTATTGTTATTATTATTTACCAGCTGTGCTAAAGCCTGGCCAGTGCCAATTTGGGGCAGCAGTAAGAGGGAAAATTAGATGAATTCTTGGAAACTTAGCAGAGTAACGATATAACCTGTCCAAGTTTGTGCCTAGTGCTGAAAAAAGATGACACTCATTTCTTTGAGGAAACTAGTGACACAACATTGTGGGATTTCTGATAATCTTTGGCTTTTATTCAGCCTGGTTCTTCTTATCTTCCAGAGATGTTGACGCTGAATTCTTGAAAGAGGAGCTAGAAGAGTTGGAAGAGTCGAGCTACAGGTCAGGTAAGCAAAATGTATTTCAAGGCAGGCATGGGCCAACTTGGGTCCTCCAGGTGTTTTGGACTTCAACTCCCACAATTCCTAACAGCCTACCGGCTGTTAGGAATTGTGGGAGTTGAAGTCCAAAACACCTGGAGGACCCAAGTTGGCCCATGCATGATATAGATGGTCGAAATGCATCTCCTCCTTTGCATCATTAATGCGGGTCCTGATTCCGTCTTGCAGATGCAACCCATTTGGGAATGGAGTCGCCAAGGAAAGGTGCAGACGTCCTTCCTTCCTCCCAAAGAAGAAGACAAGAGAACGCCATGCTGTTTTCAGTAGACCAGGGCCCTTCTCCCCACACTGTCAGCCTCCGCCGTCCCGCTTTGTCCCGCTCCGTCAAAAGAGAGGTATTCTGGAGAATGCTGAGAGGAGGAACCCAAGAAAGAGTGCCTTAAATGACACTATAACAGGCCTGGGCAAACTTCCTTCAGATATTTTGGGGCTTGCAAACATTGCGGGAGGAAAATGCACATATAGAGAGAGAGAGGATTTGCAAAAGTTTCAGGGGGAAATGCTTATGTGAAATTAGTATATATAATTTCTTTGAAATATAGTAAATATTAGGCATGTGTGATCCATGAATCATAGAATCAAAGAGTTGGAAGAGACCTCATGGGCCATCCAGTCCAACCCCATTCTGCCAAGAAGCAGGAATATTGCATTCAAATCACCCCTGACAGATGGCCATCCAGCCTCTGTTTAAAAGCTTCCAAAGAAGGAGCCTCCACCACACACCGGGGCAGAGAGTTCCACTGCTGAATGGCTCTCACAGTCAGGAAGTTCTTCCTCGTGTTCAGATGGAATCTCCTTTCTTGTAGTTTGAAGTACTTACAAAACTAAAGTTCTGGTGGTGAAACTTTCAGAACTCTAACACAACTTTCAAAATTTCATTGTAAATGGCAGTTCCTAATAAGTTATGCCATAAAAATCGCCAATAATGGAATAATAATGGAATTTTGAAAGTTTTGTTAGAGTTCTGAAATTTTCACCACCAGATCTTTAGCAACACTGTAGAAGCAAAGCGCCAGCGCTCCCTAGTGTTTACAACCAGAACTTTAGTTTTGTAAGTACTTTAGAACCATTTAGAACCATGGATTGCACATGCCTAGTAAACATGCAAAAACATTTAACCTACTGATACCTCAATTACTGTAATTTTATTGGTATCCATTTTTACTTTGAAATTTACCCATAGCTGCTGCATTTTCCACCCTCGGCTTATGCTCAAGTCAATAAGTTTGCCCAGTTTTTTGTAGTAAAATTAGGTGCCTCGGCTTATATTTGGGTTGGCTTATACTTGAGTACATACAGTAAACTGGAACAGGTATATTTCTTAAGTGTAACTCCATATATACTAGCCGTCCCCTGCCAGGTGTTGCTGTGGCCCAGTCTGGTGATCTTGAACATAAAGTAATGAGAAAGTGTTGGTTTCTAATATTTGTAATTTCTTTATCCTTGTGGGAAAACAGTATTTCTTCTTGTTTCTTTGTCAGTGTTGATATAGAGATTGTCTGGTTTGCCTCCTCTGGAACATGCAACATATTATTGTCTTTCTTTAGGGGTCCCTTTCAAATCTATGATACTATATCTTTCTCTCTGTGTGAATCATATCTATCTATATCTATGGCTGGATAGCTCTTTCTCTGGAGGGCTTTGTTTACATTTTCTTGCCTTGTTGAAGGGAGTTGGACTGCATGGCCTTAAGTATTTTGTTGGTCATGGGGATTCTGTGTGGGAACTTTAGCCCAATTCTATCGCTGGTGGGATTCAGAATGCTCTTTGATTGTAGGTGAACTATAAATCCCAGTAACTACAACTCCCAAATGTCAAGGTATATTTTCCCCAAACTCCACCTGTGTTCATATTTGGGCATATGGAATATTTGTGCCAAGTTTGGTCCAGATCCATCATTGTTTGAGCCCACAGTGTTCTCTGCATGTAGCTGAACTAGAACTCCCAAACTCAAGATCAATACCCATCAATACCCATGTTGGTCATGGGAGTCCTGTGTGCCACATTTGGTTCAATTCCTTCATTGGTGGAGTTCAGAATGCTCTGATTGTAGGTGTACTATAAATCCCAGCAACTACAACTCCCAAGCAATTTTTTGAGTGATGGTCATTCCTTGGGTTAGTACGTGCCTGGTGGCCAAATTTGGTGTCACTTCGTCTAGTGGTTTTTGAGTTATGTTAATTCCACAAACGAACATTACATTTATATATGTATATATATACATCATGCGATGTGCAGGGCTTGAGGAATGCAAGGATGGGGTGAAAATTGCTGGAAGAAACATTAACAACCTTAGATATGCAGATGACACCACTTTGATGGCCGAAAGCGAGGAGGAGCTGAGGAGCCTTCTAATCAAAGTGAAAGAAGAAAGTGCAAAAGTTGGGTTGCAGATAAACATAAAAAAAAAACCAAGATTATGGCAACAAGAATGACTGACAACTGGAAAATAGAGGGAGAAAATGTGGAGGCAGAGACAGACTTTCCCAGTGTAAACAGTTCAGGATCTAAATGTATCTTTGTTTGGAAATTTTCCTACATTGTTTTGTTTGTTTACCCTGTCGCAGAATTTCCTCGGTGGAAAGTTCCCTCTAGTTCCTGACCTTTCCAACATGTACTATTTGTTTCCTTATACGATTTAGCAAGTGTTGCTGCAGATCAGAGTACCAATTTAGTGAAGCAATATCTCTCAATCTTTGGCCCTCCGGTTCCCAGAATCTCTGGTCATTGGGCAACATTGGTCTGTGAAGCAAAGCCCAAAACCTCTGGAGATCAAAGTTTGAAAAAGTTGTTTTAGGGCACATGCAATGGAGCAGTGCATTTCCTTTAGGTTTTGGTCCAAATAAAGTCCTTTAATGCAGCTGTATGCTCAACCACTTCCATAAATTGATTATAGAATCATACTTACAGATGCCTAGAGAAGTTGACCACAGCGTTGTGCTGGAAGACCTAGAGATTTCTAGGGAGGTCTTCTGAGATGCCTAGACAAGTTGACTATAGCATTGTGCTGGAAGACCTAGAGATTCCTAGAAAGGTCTTTTGAGATGCCTAGAGAACTTGACCATAACGTTGTGCTAGAATTTATTTATTTATTTATTTATTTATTTATTTGGGGTTCTTTTACCCCGCCCTTCTTACCCCGAAGGGGACTCAGGGCGGCTTACAAAAGCAAAGGCACAATTTGATGCCTGCATCATAAAAACAATCAAATACAAAATTACATCAATACACAGTTAACAACAAATATACATTGTAACCATAAAATCAATAAAATCAATAAAACCAAATACAAACTCTAGAAGACCTAGAGATTCCTAAGGAGGTCTTCTGAGATGCCTAAAGAAGTTGACCATAGCGTTGTGCTGGAAGCCCTAGAGATTTCTAGGGAGATCTTCAGAGATGCCTAGAGAAGCTGACCATAGCGTTGTGCTGGAAGACCTAGAGATTCCTAGAGAGGTATTCTGAGATGCCTAGAGAAGTTGACCATCGCGTTGTGCTGGAAGACCTAGAGATTCCTAGGGAGGTCTTCTGAGATGCCTAAAGAAGTTGACCATAATGTTGTGCTGGAAGATCTAGAGATTCCTAGGGAGGTCTTCTGAGATGCCTAGAGAAGTTGATCATGCCTAGAGAAGCTGGAAGACCTAGTGATTCCTACGGAGGTCTTCTGAAATGCCTAGAGAAGTTGACCATGGTGCTGTGCTGGAAGACCTAGAGATTCCTAGGGAGGTCTTCTGAGATGCCTAGAAAAGTTGTGTATAGCGTTGTGCTGGAAGACCTAGAGATTCCTAGGGAGGTCTTCTGAGATGCCTAGAGAAGTTGACCATAGTGTTGTGCTGGAAGACCTAGAGATTCCTAGGGAGGTCTTTTGAGATGCCTAGAGAAGTTGACCATAACGTTGTGCTGGAAGGCCTAGAGATTCCTAGGGAGGTCTTCTGAGATGCCTAGAGAAGTTGACCATGGTGTTGTGCTGGAAGACCTAGAGATTCCTAGGGAGGTCTTCTGAGATGCCTAGAGAAGTTGAGTATAGCGTTGTGC